TTTCTATCTATTTTTTTCCTCTCCATTTCTTCTATAGTCTTACACATAACAATAATTACTAAACGAAATATAGGATTTTATCGCGCTCGGTGCACAGCTCTCCTCGAACTCGTGATCCTTTCGACATGATCTCGATTCTAAAATTGAAATATTGTACTTATTACAATTATACACGGGCAGTAATTGTGCTGCCGGCGCTTGCTCTGCTTGCTTGTAAAATAACAGATCTCGTAATTGTATATTAACACAGCAAAGGCCGTTCCGTCGACTGTAAAATTGCCATTTCAATTTTCACTTCCATGCGTAATATTTCATTATTAACTAACAATTGCTGTTTCTATTTTTTTTCTATTTCTTTTTTTTTAGGATCTGGTAAATCCTCAGGTTTACCAAGCTCTGGCAATTCAAGGAGCCAAAGTGCTTAGCGTCCCAAGAGCCAAAGATCTTAAAGAGGTCCAATTCGATCCGTCGTATGAAAATGTAAGTACATTTCTAAATCAGTCATTTTCAATGTAATGGTTTATATAATAATATAAATAAAAATCTAGGAATTTTATTAAGTTTTATTGTCATAGTGGTATTATCTATCTTATAATCTATGATTTTATTGCAGTTCGTGTTTCTAGAAAATTTAATGAAATTTTATTATATAAAAAATGAATTACTAATACTACAACGATTTAATATTTAATACAAATCTGTTAAAAATTTAATATAATTTATATATACACTTAAAACAGGTAAAAACATTAGCATTTGCTATAGTGTATTGCATATTTTGTTTAATCTTCATGTTACAAGAGTTTAGTGCAAACTTCATACAAAAAAGTCAAACATTCTTTATCTATTTTTTTTTCATTTTTTTAAATAGAAATAAGAATGAAACTGAGTGTGAACATATTATTAATTTAGAAATATAAGAAATACTAAATTTTCAATAAAAATAGTATTAAATAACATAACTACAACAAAACGTGTAAAAATCTGTGAAAAGCATTTTCGTTAAAATTACATAATATGTCTATATTTCCTGTCTTGTTACAATATATTAGAGGAAATAGCATCAATCATGTTTGACCTTCATCTGTATCTAAATTTTGGTCAAGGTTTAATAGACACTTAATCTGTAATTTCTACAAATCATTCTTTTTGAATGTGCAATCTATAATAATCAACATAATGGAGTATTTGATCTTCCTCGATAATCAAATTTGAATGAGATAATTCAACGTTTAGCAATACCTTGCATAGTACAGCTTCGATCAGTACAGTTTTACTATAATAGGGTTTCAAAATGTCATACAAAACTAAATTTTAATTCAATAAAAAACAAATATATTTTTATTTAATATCTATTATAAGGGCGACTAATAGCTGAATAGTTAAGTCGCCTTACCCACGTGTCAATGATCACAGGTTTAGATCCTGGTCAAGCCAGGCCCTTTGTGAGCCCTCTCAGTGCTTGTAGCAATACGGCCATCGTTCATCACAGATGGACAGTGAAATGAATGAGGTTCAACAAATGGACTTTTAACCAAGTCGATGGACAATGACAGTATTAAGGATAGCAACAGATTCACAATCAAAGGAACTAGTGGAATCGCAGAGCATCAATATACTACTGAAGTTAACGTACAAGACGACAGCCAACCTACAAATTAAAAATAATTTGGCTGAAGGTCCATATGCTGAACCTCTTTAATTTGACTGTCTATTCATGATGAAGGGGTGTCCTATTGCTGCAAGCTCCGAGGATGCGCACAAAGGGCTTGACCAGGATTCGAACCGGCCCCCACGGAATCGTGGGTAGGGTGACTTAACTATTCGGCTATTAGTCGCCCAGAAACATAAATTTGAAAAAAATATAACAATTTTGTATAAATAAATAACTTCATCTGTTCAAAAGAGTGTTGATCTTTCTGCCTGGGAAACAATAATATTTTCTCAAAACGTTTATGATTATATATAATTATGTATAATGAAAAATTTGTAAACGAAATGTGTTTATTCTTAATACAGTAATACCTCGCACAGTAGAGACAATCTATTCCGCAATTTGAAATTGGACTAATCGAGAAATTTAATTTGTTCTGAAAATAAAGTACTTGACTGCATACAGAAAAAAAAGATAATAAACTGTATAAAAATATTTAATATATTTTGAAAATTTTAAATTGCTGTTTCGCAATAATCAAACTAACTATATCTTTTAAAATAAATTGAAAGATAATAAATTTAATTCTAATTGAAGTAAGTGTTAATATTAAAATACATTTTGTATTACATTGTGATCTCAATGACATAGATTCGCTTAAATGTCCATGCAAATTGTTTATTGTTGCGTACAATATTCCGTCACATTAATATTTATGGTGTATGAAACTAGCTGCATGACTGCATAAAGAAAATGCACAATTTTATCTGAGATTGTTGTCTACAACTCTATATGGAGTTACCTTAGAAAAAGGGTTACGAAAGTGGAACGGTATTATAAATTTTATTAATTAAATCATTATTAATCATTTCCTTATGTTGAACGTTCATTAAAATCATTGTGATTAAACTTTTAAAATGTTTCATTATATATTTAAATAAAATACTGTTAAATAAAGTAATGATTACAAGTATTTTTTTATAAAAAAAAATGATTTAATTTCCTTCTACAGTCAAGTTACACGATTAGTACAGTTTCAAACAGTCGTGATTGCTCAACCTATGACGATAGCCTTTTGTACATTTGTTATTTATTTATAATTATTCTTTAAGTTTATGTTTTGTTATATATTCTCACCTATCTTTGTTTTCATTGATAAATAATAGAAAAATCGACATTGTCAAATAAATGAAATGTAAGGAAAATAAATCTGTGTTAAATTATATTCAAATTATTTCCTTTCGCTTAATCAATTATGTAATTGTAGAATTTATGTTTTTCAGTCAATTAATCACTTTAATATGTTCTAGTTGGTAATGGTAAAACATATTTTAAAGTTATTTTTACTTTTCAATTGATTTTCGAATAATTTAACTAATATTATTGTTTCTTTATATCACATATACGTATATTTTATAAATCATGCATATTTGTATAAGGTAAACATGGAAATATTGCGTATAATCAAAATATTTTTAAAGTTAATATAATAAAATTTGTAATATAAACAATATTTACAATTCGATTTATATAATTTTATGAAGGAAACTATAAAATATGAAACAGAGTTTTTAAATGATACATAGATTCAATAATAAATGTTAATAAATTTCAATTACAAAGAAATAATATATAGACCATTAATTTAGTACTTTTGTTATTCGATGACGTATAGTTTAAATTGCTAAAAATCAGTTGATAGTTATGTTATGTAGTAATTATAACAATTAAAATAATAATATGTAACATATATTATTTAATTAATTAAAATTTTTATTATATGCCATAATGTTACTGATTATCTTTTAGTTAAATTATGTTTTAGATATTTAATATTTGAAATTATTAACTACATTTATTATTATTTCGATAGTTGTAGTCTTGGAAATCCCCCAAAATACGACCAAACTGATACATGTTAGATACGTGACTGTTGCCATGGGAGCTTACGTATTCATCCCAGTTTTGGAACATATTGTACGTTCCATCTTGATCGGAGGGACAATAAATAATGCGATCTGATGAAAGTGCTTCGATAATCGATGATAATTCGAAATGGAGCAATCCGAGATTTTTATGGCCTTTGTGTGATAGCCGCGAGGTTATTTACTTACTTATAAGTGTACACCATTATTTTTGTTTCTTTTCCCATCGTACGAAACAGCTAAATGCTTCCATTCAGGAAGTAGCGTTGCGCGCGGCCCGAGGGGATGGAAGCAGTGTAATAATTTCGATAAAAGTTTCGCGGCAATAAATCTTAAGTTTGGCACCCACCTACTATAAAATAGATCATTGCAATATAAGCTTGGGAACCCATTGTTTGCATCCAACTTTTATTGAATGCTCGCTCTCCTATCCACATACAAACATCGACCATCCGTACATAGTTTCGTATAGAAAGTTGAGGGCACCTAATCTATCCGACAAAATAAATCTCATCATCTAAACATAAATCATTTCGAGAGCATACATAAACAGACAATACACGGAGTGCGTTAATACAGTGATAATCTGTAAGCTATGCATCATATAAATGCCAAAATTTAATTCGTTTGTTGTTTTAGCATATAACATTTATAGACTATAATTATAAACTATTAAAATAAATTCATTAATAAAATAGTATTTGTTTACATGCATTTCTATACTGTAGCATAAATTAATAGGAATTTTCATAATTTTAAACAAATAAATATCAGACTAATAATTATTAATTAATGAAAATATTTCTTAAAATAACAATATGCAAAAAAAGGTTAATAATTAAAATCCAAATATAATTAAAAATATAGAAATGACAAAAATATGGCAATAATATAAATAACAAGTAATAGAATAATAATATTAGTTACAATAATATAAAAAAAAACAAATGAAACATTTTCATATCATAATAAAACACGAAGTAAACTTTTGAAAAAGGCTATTGACCATAGGTTTTTCTACTCAAACAGGTAATATTTTTGCTATGAAAATAAATTTATATGAAACTACTTCGATATTAGGCATTTGTATGCCATAACGAAAAAGGTTTTAAGATCACATAATACTGAATTGTATTAGTATGTCCTGCCCGAATGACAGATGACTGATTATTTTTTTTAATAATAACAATCTCTTATAGCCCTTATTATTTTTGTATCAATTGTTTATAAGTATGTTGATAATTTTTTAAGAAAAATTAAAATATCTGAAGAAGTAAATACAAAAAAAAATGTATCAATATTTCAGAAAAAGTAATAAATGATCATAAACATGTAGAAATTATAAAGTTAAGTATAAATATAAATAATTTAATTGCATTTATGTAATTCAGTGTATGTCTACTGTAAATAATGCAGTTATATTTTAATTCCACAACTAATGATTTATACTGATTGAAAAAGGATCAATAAAGGAACGTTTTGTTACCAGTAAACGGTTAACCAACCGTTACAGACAATATAATTACCGAATTTAAATTTCTTAACGTGAAACTAACATAAAATATCTTTAGAACATGAAATTAATACTATTAACGTGATAATATCCACATCTATAAAACTAGTTATAAAAGCAGTAGGTGTAGCTGATTATACATTACTTAATTTCGATATTACCTATTAATTTATGTTTGACAAATTGTTTGCGTAAAATATTACACTATGAAGAGAATTCAAACTAAAATTAATTTTCAAGAGCATCGCACAATTTTTTTGTGTACTATTTTTGCATAATCCCCAAAAATTAAAGAATTTAGTTATGTGAATTAATCTGTCATTGCTAAAACTATTAAATGTTTGAAATAAATAGTCTGAAATAGAATAGCTGCAGTTAAAAGAACATAACCAGCAATGAAATAAAAAATGTATTTGGCCATTACAGAGAAAAATGAAGCAACATTTATTATTACAATATTAATATATTAAACATATTTCATATTTATTATTGTTAACTATCTATTTGAATGTATATATCACAACTTAGTGTTGTTATTTTCAATTTTAAATAATTTACCGGTTTTTACTTAAAATGTTTATCGTTTGCGGTAAAATAAAATAACTGTAATTTTGAAAGCAATAATCCAAACTGATCGAAGCCGCTCCATTCTAGGAAATGCTATATTCATAAATAAAATATATTTATAAAAATGCACTATTTAGTCCAAACTACAAATAGCATCTGTTTGACCTAAACACAATAATGAATTTGTGAATGGTGAGACATTATTTAATTGCTGCTTCAATTTAATTATCTCTGCTTCCTAAATCCGTAAAATAAATTACATTTGTGGTTTTGTGTCACTAATGTATGTTAAATTAATTAAATGAAAAACAGAAATTTCCATGAGGGGAAACTTGTTAATTGTTATAATCAGAATACGTTTGTAGTTGCAAAACGTTATTTAGATTGGATGCGTGTTTATTCCATTGTAATAGATGTTTAATTTTTCTTTTTGTTGTTTTCATTCTGTTCTCGGATGGTCCAGCAAAAGAAGCAGTACTCGTTTTCTTACAAGGTGGTGTCGGGACGCGGCGACGGCGGAGGCGACGATTTCTCGCACAGGCAGTCGCAGAATTCGCACGCGACGAACGGTGAATATCGGGTAAAATTGCCAGATGGCAGGCTGCAAATCGTTTCATACACTGCGGACAGGAACGGCTACAAAGCCGACGTGAAATACGCGGAAAACGAGAGACGATTCTATGGAGACGTCGCAGAATCAGGATCAGCATCAGGGCTAGCAGGATCAGGGCCGGCACCGGCGTACTTCCTATCCGATCAACCGACAAAAGTGGCTTCGGATTACGCCGCCAAACCAGACGCCTCCACCTCATACTACTTCCACCACTCCACCGCTGCTGATGCTGCTTTTGAAGCGGTAGACGGAAATCCCATCTACGGAATCGCACAATACTGAAGGAGGAACACGAGGATTCCATAATTCAAACATCCTGTTTTCTTTATTATTCATCCCAGTGTGTACAGTTATCAAATAAATGTTTTATTTTCCAAAATTTACATTTTTATTATATTATTTATTACTATTGGAATGTACTGTATTACCCTGGCTTATCCATAAGGAAATTGAGATAATCTTCATGTTTCTTCTTATTTTAAACACTACATTGATGATCATTTATACATATTTTATTGAAATTGCATTTGTTTTAAATCACATCATAAGAGCATCCTTTCATAAGAGCTACAAAGCAATTTTTACAATTTTTAAACATTTATTTTTTTATCTTACGAATCGAATGATTTCCATAATATTATTTCTAGACATTTTAGTTGTTAGAAGAAAAATATCAATTTTATAAATATAAAAGCTTTCCTTCACATACACCTTAGACAGATAAGTAGTTATAACTTTATAACTACTTTACGTTCCTAATTTACAGTGAAAGTTTTGATACACTATCATAAATAAATTAATTATCAGCTGAAATCCGCAATTTACATTACCAAACATAATATTTCATATTTTGTGATTTTGGATGATATTGTGTACAGATATTTTTATCTTATTTTATTTGGGCCTTCAAGAAATCATAGAGAACAAAAGTTTAATTTGCCCCACTCTTCAAGAAAACAATGCTAGTACTAGCATCATCCGCGCATCTACGATTGATATACCTACGGTCCTTTACGCACCTCACTGCAGCGCTAATTGTGATTTATATGAAAACAATTAGTGTATTATGTTTAGGGCTGGCGCTACCAAATGGACAAACTGGACATTTACCCAAGGCGGCAAATGGCAAGGAATGGTAAATTTTGAAAAGTACAACAAGACCTCGTTTATCGCTTTAGATGTGTCCCCGAAGAAACAGAGTTAAACAAAACATCGTTATAGGAGGTCATGTTAACACATAGTAAATAGGGAAACAAATTTTACTTTCATTTTAAGTTGTGTTTACAGTAATTTGCATTATAATAAATGTTTTATATAACACAAACATTTACACATATTCTGGAATTTTTGATTCTTTTTGGCGATAAAATCGTATAAAGTCTAGTGTCATTAAGCAAATGTTGGTATGCGATCGCAACTAAAACTTCTCCTCTTGCTTTTGCACCCCTGTCAAAATTTGGATCATTCGCTACAAATTGATGAACGATTTCGGTTATCGCTTCTAAACTAAGAAAATCTGTAGCAAGTTATTTTGGTTCATAGTCTTCAGATTCACTATTTTCGAGTTATTCAATTCCTTCTTAAGCCAGTTCTTGACGGTCGTCGTTGGAAAGGCCCTCACTAGAAACCTGCAGTGACTCCTTAGCATCCTGCTCATCTAATTCTCGAACCAGTATAGATTCTGTGGAAACAGCGTTGCGTGTTCGGCAATATTCGTATTATATACGAATCAATGAAATGCCGCGATAATTTGAATCCGGGTAAATTTTGAGCTTTTTCAAGGTTTCTAACATACCGCGTTTTTGCAAATCAACGTTAATAGAGGTAGCGATAAACGGGGTATACAAACTGTATACAAAACCATTTTATGAAAGGCCATAAAAGGCCAACAAATGTCTTACCTAGAATGGTATAAACTCTATAAGTAGTCTCGATTATCTTAATAATAAACAATCAAAACATCCTATATAATAATAATATTTAAACTGGACTGTCACAAGATTTATGTTACTAATACTGCAAATTTTGAACTAAAAATATGTTTTACATTCATATGCTAAACTAGAAAAGTTATCTCACTGACTATATTCTTTTTTTTATTATAACTTATCAGAAATATTGGCAACCGTTGAATTCAAGTACGGCACTCTTAGTTTATGGCAATCCAATTGCTCTCAGAGATCCCCGTTTATATGCCTTCGTTTTTCATTTCACTGGGTCAGTTTTTATGTCTCAATTGTGTAAGTAATTTGATGAAAATTGGCAACCCTTGCTATCCTTTCCAAACACGGGCTCAAATTTCATATTTTTTTCTTCATCGGGGCTGCTGAAAGATCGTAGGCAGCACCCCACAACCTCCCTGCAGATATGTCCATCTCGCTACACGCACACTCCGCCAACGCTTTCATGAATATTTCAACGGGGTGAAGACGACCCCTATGGCGGAGTGGGAGAATCCACCCTCCGTGTTCGCCTTTTCGTTGTAATAACGCGAAACTGGCAAACCGCGCCATTTTCGCTACACTTCAACTTATTTCACAGACCATAAACTATATGCATTCGTGCCACTTAGACACTAAGGGTTATCATTGCCATAAAGACGGCACGAAGGAAAAGGGACCGGGCGAGAGTGAAAAAAAAAACATACACATACATATATAGAGAAGATACAAGGAAAATATTGTAAATAGGGTGGGTCGAATACGCGATTGTTATTTTCTGCGAGATTGCCTTTGAGGGGAATAGCAGGGGCGAAAGCAACACGACGAAGAGGGAAATATATATAAAAAAAATAGGAGAAACAAATTGGGGCTTTAGTTTCCAAAGGTTGGATGCCCTGCTCTGATTTAGTGATAAAAGCTAATCTCTTTTCTGGCAGCCAGCCGCTTTCGCAGAGCTTTTAAATGCGTAAATCCATCAGACCGAACTTTCCTAACGCAACTTTTAACATAATTCTGTATAAATTTAACACTGTTTTTACTTATTTCATTAAAGTCGATGCAATAAAAAGATATGAAAAGAAAAAAAAATAAAACAAAAAAAGACATGTACACGGTTTTAATTTGGCGCATTACATAAATTAACAGAAACGAAGCCCAAAAAAGACTGAAAAGTTTTATAATAATAAAAAGAAAATTTATTAATTATTCATTAATTAAGTATCAATTATTAGGCTCTGTAAAAGGTGAAAGAAATTAACTCTGACATCACATTTAATTATAAGCAAAAAAATAAATATAATCATCTTCACTTTCATTCAATATTTAATATTAATTAATAATTTAGCTGTTTTAATAATTGAAATTTTATTTGTTTTGATTTTTTAATTTAAAAGCATTTTTAATTAGGAAATTGTTTTCTTGATAATGGTATAAACGTATTAAAATTAATATATTTCAAGTCAAAAATAATTCTTGGCTTTATATATTATTTCTATTTGGGTTTTTGTGCTTTTGGAAATCAAAATTCTAAATTTTAAGTTGTACTCTACTTTTCATTACTATGTTATGACAAAATGTAGAGTTGGATTAGGTGATTTTGAGTTGAATTAAATACGAATAGTTGACAAGGTGCGATACTTAATGAACAATTTTACCTATTTATTTGAAAATTTTTAATAATATTTGAATAAGCAAACGATTGTCGTAATTCCACCAATTAGGTATTTCGACCTAGATGAAATATTGAAAAAAATGAACATTTTCGGAGATCACTTTGCTAAAGTTTTTCAGCATTTCATTTGAATAAAAATACGCTATCCATGATTTCCTGCAGGCACTATTCCAAATGTATCGTCTAATCAAAGCATTCATCATACAGAATAATGTAAAGCCGAAAAAAGCACCAGGATAATCAGTGGAAAAGTACTTTAACGCTTCACGGTGGGAGTACCGTGAAGCGTTAAACTAATAACGACGATATTCAACTCAATGTTGCGCTTGGGGATGATATATTCTGCATAATGTAAAGTGGCTCAATTCATAGATATTTTCATTGGCGGAAAAACGCCAAAAGATCGGTCTACTACCAATTATATTCAAAGTATTCGAAACAATACTACTATCATCAGTTTAGATTCTGCAAAAGGCGTGGAATGCGCAAGTTCGCCAAGTTACTAAAGTGATCAACGCCACTCGAAGAAATACAATACTGCTTTGCTACATATTTTTATAACTCGCAGACCTTCGATATAGTTTGACAACCTGGGCAGCCCTATAAAATTGAGAAAATATTCTATACTCTCTTTCTTTCAAATTATAAAATTGTACATAACGGATATATTGTTGCAATTCGCAAGACGTCCTAATACTAATGTCTTCTGAAAGTAAACCAGAAGTTGCAACGTAATCAATGCAAAGAGGACTTATCGACTCACGCCACCTTTACGATGAGAAAGAAAGACGTCCGGCAACTCTAAAGAATAAATTATTACTGCAAGAGGATCGTGTAAAATATTTTGGAATATATTTGGATAGACGTTAGACAACAATTTATTTTTATACAAGTCTATCCTTAAATCAGTGTGGTTACATGGAATACAAGTGTGTTGTTCAGCAAGCAACTCTATCATCGAAATACTCCAGCAATTCTTTGATAATACCCCAATAATGTTATACACAGTGAAACGGTTAAAGGTATAATTACAAACTTTAGTGAATGATACCAATTAATATCACAATCGCACTTAAATGAACTAGCAAAAAAACTACTAGTAAATGAAATATAAACCTACAAACTTAAATTGTGCAACATTCTGGATTTACCACATAGATTTAATTGAAATAGTAATACCGATGGATACTGTTGAGTTCCCCATCTACTTGACAATTGTACCACTAACAAATTTACTTAATGTCCTTTTTGTAAAAGATTGGAAATATAAGAAATGTTATAAAAAAAATCGTCTATTCTCTTCGTCGTATGTACACATAGTTCTAAGACTAAAAGTTAGGTTATTTTTTATTTGTAATGTATTCTAATTTGCTGGAATATTTGAATGTTTATTATGTTGCTAAATTTAAACTTGTTTCTAAATTTAAGTAGTTTATTAATTAACGATCCTCTCAGTATAATATACAGTTTGTTGAATTTATATTTTCTTATTGGGATTACTAGTGCGTGATTTTAAGAAAATGTAAAATTATTAGATATGATAAAATACATAATTCCAAAGATGACAACAGAAGTATTATCTAAAACGCAGTAAATATATTAATATTTATTGCTAACTAAAACTTAAACCTAAAACTATAATCTGTTATATAATGGAACTTCGATTTAGAAGATGTTTTTATACATATATTACTGAAATAAAACTTTAAAGAAACAATCTAC